TCTTTTGCTCGAATATTAGTTGGGCGATTGATGTTTTTGGTTTTTCATCTGTTACATTACTTATCATTTCATGTGTCTGTATACTTTCTGTCTTTATTCCCTCGAACATTCTTTCGACTTTTGAAACTGCTCTATTTAATTGTGTGTCTTTAGATGTTTCGATTTCAAGTTGAGCGCTCAAAAGAGCCGTGTCAACCGAAGTATTTGCCACGGTTAATGGATGATCGGTGTTTGTTTTGGCTAGCTGGGTTTTTTCGTGCTCTTCTCGTAATATCTCTTTTTCTTTTTCTAGCAATTCAGTCTCACTTGTAGTGTAAAATAATAAGCATTCGATCGATTCTTTCGGATATTCTTGTTTCATTTGCATTTCTGTCGTTAAATTCTTTTCACTTTCGAGCATAATTTCTTGCAATGTTTGCCCAATAACATTAAAGTTTTCTTGAATCAATTTTCCATGTTGTTGGTTTAATATTTGGCTTTCGAACAATTTGCCTGACAAGCTAGTTTGTACTTCTAGAATTTTAGCTGTGGTCAATGCATCTGATATATTTCTTGTAATTGTTGTCGTATGTTCGACTGGTTCTGATTCAAGTGAAGCAATGCTATCGTATGTATTTTGTTGCATTTGTTCACACCGTCGTTGTTCTTCAGCATTTTGAACGAGATGTCCATGCGAAACTTCTTGAGGCAATCTGAAGTTGTTTTGTTCCGTACTCTCTTGCGAAATAACATCTTCTATCAATATGCTCTTTTGTTCATTTATCGAAAATTTTGGTCTCATTGAAACATTTGTTGATACTTTCAATTCTGTGATTGTGTCAGAAGTTTCAATTTCAGATGTTTCAATAGCCGATGATTCGATCAAATGTTGACTTGAACTTTGAGTTGCAGCACTAGTACTTTGTTTTAAATCTTCTAACACTTCCATTGGCCAGTTTTCATTAATGTTTGGTACATTATATTGTGTTGTCGATACACTTGCGGTAGACATTTTAAAAGTATCAATTTCAAGGGATGAAGAATGCTCGAATGTTTCCGTTTCATTAATGATGATTGGCTTAATGAGCAATAAATCTGATTGAAGCGTTGGAATTTGTTCTTGCACACGGTTCAAACTCAATTTATCCAACGATTCGGACGTTTGCTCGACCGTGATATTCAATGCGTTCTTTTCCACTAAATTTGGAGAGGCTTTCATTTGTTCAACTAAATTTGATGTCTCCAATTGATCTAAGCTATCCGATGCAGTTGACATTTCAATTACGATTTCATGAAGTACAATCGGCTCTTTTCTTGCAGAAACTTTGCTTTCAATGCTCGTCTGTATGGGTTCAGATGAATCATAAATAAAAGGTTCACTTATAGAACTGACATGTGTGACCTGCTGTGGAGCATTAATAATATTCAAATATTGGTCTTCTTTTCGATTTATGTCAAGACATTTTTCTGAATCGATTAATTGTGTTTCGGATACAACTATTGAGCTTCTCGTATTTCTGCTTAATTTGTACTTTGGCTGAATCTCGTGCATATTTATGTCAAATGTCTTTTCTGAATCGTGTGGTATGATCGTTTCACCTATCATCGATTTTCGTAACTCAAAATTAATCTTAACGCTTGATTCTTGTGGTCTTTCTCCTTGTTGATAACCGGTTATTGTTTCAAGCACGAGATTTTCACTTAAATCAGGTGCTGTATAAAGTTCTTGAGATGTTGTTGTCGTTATCGAATTAATCATTTCTGGTGAGAAAGTTCCACTACTTTCTTGAATTTGATTTTCTGAAATAATAATTGGACTCTTTAAAATCGATTCGATTTTATAATGTGGTTCATTGGTTTTCAATTTCGTTTCGAATGTTTCTTCCAAATCGTGAGTGAAAACCGACTCGCCGATCGTTGATTTTTGCAATTCAAAATTTATTTGGGCCTTTAATGATAAATCTTTATCCTTTTCATGGTATTCACTCGCACTATCAAGCATTTGATCATCTTGTTGCTGGTATGTGCTGTACAGTTCTTGTGTTTTCGTAGCTTCCATTTGAGCCGTTGGTGCCGCAGAAAACTCTGTATGGTCCTCTTGTGTTTGAACTTCAGTAACTATAATTGGACTTTTCAATGTTGTATCTATGCTGTAATGTGGTTGATTAGCTTGCAATTTTGATTCAAATCTTTGTTCTGAATCATGTACAATCGTTGTTTCGTGAATTAATGATTTCTGTAACTCGAAATTCGTTTGAACTTTAGATACTTCTCGAATTACTTTGTGATGATAGTCATCGGTAGCATCAAGTAATTGTTCATCATTTTGTTCAATAGTTTTATGCATCACATGAGATGTTGACGCTTTGGCAAATGTTTGTGGTGCGATTGGCAATTCAGTTTCATTTTCTTGCGGTAATGTTTCGGATACAATGAAACCTTCCTGTGATATGTAAGTTGAACTGGCCTCTTGCTCTAAGAGTGGCTTTGGTTTGGGTAATGGTTTTTCGCTTTGGAGCACATTGACAGTTTCGATAAATGTTCCATCCATTTCTGTTATTGAAAGAGACGCTCTTTTCGCTGAAAAAACGATAGGCTCACAAGATGAAACTGAATCGATCGGTTGACTGAAACCAGTTTGCATTTCCTTATGCAAATCAAATGTATCTCTTGCGGTGGCAAGCAAATCGGTTGGGAACGCTCGACTTGATATTGTTTCGCTTTCGCTAATATCAGTTTGTTCCATCGTAACCGCTTGAAGTTTGGTAAATTCTAATCGAGCATGTATTTGTTCAGGAACATTGTGTTGCTCAATTATATTTTCACTTTCAGTTACACAGATTTCTTGTGTTTGATATGGAATTTGTTCAACATATTTTGGTATAGCCTCTTCTGTGGCAATAAATGTTTCCGGATAGTATTTGGTCAATGAATTTTCCGCTAGCGTTTCTTCCGTATTCAATGCTGTATTTGATATTAAACTATATGTTGCCGATTGTGTTATGGGTTCGTATTTATCGGGAAATGATTCCTCGCTTTCGCCAACATCAATTTCTTCAATCTGAATTGGTTTTTGTGTATTAACAATTTCTTTAGCTTGTTGAGGACTGAGAATGTGTCCACTGGTGAAAGAGTCTTCTTTTATCGTTGCAATTTGTTCAAAAATGGTTTTGCTTTCATGTAAAATTGAAGTTTGTTCTGCAACAACCGTAGCTGGTATTGCTTTCGATTGGAAATCATTTACATTATCACATGGTATAGTTTGATCGCCAACTGTAGCCGAGCTAGTGACTAGAATCGACGATATTTGTCTAAATTCTGCGAATTTATCTGGTTGTCTAGTGTCAACACACTCTGTTTTATTGATTTCAGAGATAATAAGTGGCGTGCATTCGGTAATATTTACAAGACATGTTTGCATTGGAGAATCTTTTAAATGAATGTGTGTTCCGCTTTCAGTTATGTCAGCGGCTATAATGTTCGTAGCATGGAAAAGTGGTTGTATTTCAAGAGGTTTGGGACCGGTCTCTATTTCCATGGGTAAGGTTTTTTCATCGAAAACAAATGATTCGGTATGTTGTGGGGCTACATCCAATGATATTGTTTTAATGGTTTGTTCATGTGTTTCAGATGTGGATTTTTGTTCAATAAATGCTTGTTCAGTAATTGGTGTTTTTGTGACTGTTTCGTCAACACATTCAGTTGTATGTTCGATTTGTTGGCGTTTTTGTTTTTTGGCTGTTTTTAATTTTTTCTTCTTCATTGTTTCCAATGATTTCTCCGTGTGTTCCATTTCAACGTTTTCTGCGAATTATGTAAATTTAAAATGGTATAGTTTAATGGGTGGAACAAATGTTCTTTCCAGTTTATATGTATATTTGTGCCTTTGGGATGTGTGTTTGTATGTGTGTAATTGGAGCTGTCTTCTACGTTTATATCTGATAATTAGGGTACAGAATGTTTGATTTTTTTTTCTTTGAATTTTGGATTTCGTATTTTGTTCTATCCGTGAAACTTGATCAAATGAAGTCCCGAGATGAATGTGATTTTAGTGCACTGATATAAACGTATTGGATTTGTTTGGGTTGGGTTGGGTTTGTATCCATTCATTTTATATATTGTTGGGAGTTTATCAAATTTGACCGGGACACTTTTGAAGGGATCTTTGGTTTTGTATATAGATTTAGGTGTTTTCTTTTTTTATTCCTAGGAGGTGTTTTTTTGTTGTTTACAATATTTACATGCATTTTTTCGTTTTTTTTTTTATTGGTGCTATGGAACTGTTGTCCATTTTCTTACTTGCCGTTCATTTATTTTTTTAAATATTTGTATAGCGAAATTAGTGATTATTGTTAAGAAGCATAAAATAATACTTACCATTGGATAAATTTTTCGCAGGTGTGCATCTATTATAAGATTCTCACACTAAAGCGGAAAGCGACTCAAGCAAATGATTAAGCATCTGATCAACTTCAAATTATTTATTTGGCATTTATTTAGAAAGGTCCTAGTCTAAATTCATTGTTCAATATGTATATAAAGCAAAATAAAATTATAATAATTTAAAACTAATTATTATGGTGCATGTGCAACAACTTTATAATAATAAAAGTAGAAAAAAAGAATCAAATGGCATTATTAACAAAGATAGCTAACAAACGATGAAAATGGAACAAGCAATTCGGTATATTATTTTGAATTAGAAAGGTTATATCCGCAATTATTAAACATTCGTTCTTATTAGCGCTAACTACTAAGAGTTATATTATTATTATACATAGCACACATTTTGTATTTTGCATTAAATGTTTAAAGAGTCATCAGCTTTAAATCAACGAATGCTTATTTTCAAGAATTTAATGGTTTTGTTTTTCATGTGTGCATGAAAAGAAATAGGATCAGGAGTCTAGCTAACGAAACAAAAACGCGAATAGATAGAAGAATTTCAAAAAAAATGTGCGAGATAGAGATAGAGATAGAAAGAAAAGTTTAATGCGGAGGTAAACTTTTATAACTCAAACCTTCACATATAGTGCTTAGTTTTTCTTCTTTTGATGCTTTCTCTGAAAATGATATATACAGAATTGGATAATCAAACACTTTCGTTCTCTATCTCAAAGAATAATCAATAATGTGGATATATCACTATACAGCAACTATTCAAATTCATTACCAATAATTGAAATTTTTTCAGCTCGTATGCTACTGACATGACTTTCCGTCACTTCGACAAATTCATTCTCCTTAACTTCTTTGTGTTTCCATTCTTGGGACACGAAATCTTCGCATTTAAAATTGGTGATAATTTCTTCGATTGGTATTTTTGTCACTTCAACCATCCGTATGAATGCTCTAAATCCCACGGTCGACGCAAGCAAATTTTCATCTTCTGACGAACTTGCATTTAGAATATCGGCAATTAAATTTTCATAACCTTGTCGTTCAACCAGTTGAACTAACGCTGACTGTGATTCGGGTATCTTAAGTGCTGGGAAAAAGTTTGCATCATACAATTGTATTATTTCGTTAATTTCAATTCCTTTCTTAAGCAGATGTCCAACAGTTGCCAATTCACGAAGTGGCCGTTCACCGCTTCCAAATTGATGGGCTTCAATTTTTTCAAGAATCGAGTTTACTTCGTCAGCAACCTTAAAGCGTTCCATTTCTTCAACCGAAAAAACTTCTTTGTAAATTTTTACGTGAATTTCTTCGGTTTCTTCTATTATTTCAACGTCTTCGTCTTCAAATCGTTGACTTTTGGTTGTTATATTTACTAAACTTGCATCTGAAATACGTTCATCTTCTCGAACCACTTCCAAATGTGCCTTATTTGCTGTTGTCAATGTCGTTTCCTCCATTTCACCGGTTTCAATTTCTTGTTTGACGTCTTTTTGTGTTTGTGATATAATTAGCTCTGTTTTTCGTTCTTCTTTCGATGCTTTTTGTGTTTGTGATGTTTTTTTCTGCGTTTTCATTTTTTTCTCAGATTTTATTTTGCTTGCAGCTTTGACTGTTTCTGTACTTGCTACTGTGTTTGTTTCTTTGATTACGCTTTTGGTCTCTGTTGTGTTTTTTTGAGTGCTTGCTGAACCTCCGCTATATGTCAAGTCTAATTTGGCCTTGGTTGTTTCTTCTTTAACATCATTTATAGCTTTGCATGTATAAAAACCGCAATTCTCTTTGGATACTTTTAAAATTTCGCATGTTGATTTCATCTCTTCGATATTTGTGTCGATTTTAACATTGTCAGAGCTTTTAAGAAATTTCATGTTGTGATACCATAAAATATCTAGAAGGAACGCAATTGTTTTGTTTTTACAATTATGAAATTTATATATCCATTTGTTCAAATAAATATGGAAGGGAGATTTTTTTCGACATTCAGATTTTTGATTGGGTCAGAATAAGAAGTCGACTTGTAATTTGCTAATTTGAGTCCATAAAAGTGGTTCGCTTTTATAGATTTTCATTTCAAGTCGGATCTTTATTCTGGCTCATTCATTTGAGAAAATTAATTTTGGAGACCGGGGTCATTGTATACCTGGTATTGGCGTTCCTGAAAACTGGCATTCAAATTTAACTGATTCACCCTCTAAAACTCTCTTGTTTACTATTTCTACCACAAAAGAAGGTGCTGATTTAGCAGCTGAAATTAATATATGCATTCGAAAGAAATTTCATTAGCGTCAGCAACATTTAGTCAGCAAATTAAATAGTGTATTTGGAAAACAGTATTTATTTTCTACTGATCCATTAGTGTTTAGTTTGTGTTGTGTTAAGTGCGTGTGACAAACGGCAAAGCTTTATGTGTGTCAGTTCATAACATACAAATTCAAATCTAACTTACATTTGCAACAAAAACCAATGTTGTCTTAAGATTTTAGAATTTTCATATGGTGTGTTCGTGTATTTGTTTATGTGTATATCAAAAAATATTATATCTTCAAAAAAGAAATTCTTACCCTTTAGTGCTTCACGCATCTCTTCCATTTGTGTAACCCATTCCGGTTGTCGATATTCTTTGGTACCAACAATTTCTGTTTGAATTTAATTGAAAAAAGAAATCGATTAAGAATTTTAAAATATAATAATGTATGGTACATCATAACATCATCACTACATAAATGTATATATGTAATAATTAATTGTTTGTGTTGATATAACAGTGTTCAAGTTGTTTTTGGGAAATGTTTTATAAGGAAATTGGTAAAAATTTGCTTTTGAAATTTTGAACAGAGCTGAAAAAGACTAATTTAATATATAATAATTTTATATAAAGAAAAATAAATTGATTTTGAATTATAGCCATTTTAAAAATACCTATATACGATAAAATACCTTCAACTTGTAATTCCGTTGCAGTTTTGGCTTTACCCACTGGATTAACAGCCTCGAACGTTATTTGATCAACAACGTCTGGCTGAACGCTTGCGATGGTTAGCACTGATGTTCCATCTGGATAGTTCTCAATGAGGTAGACATCGGATGGAATGATTTCTTCATCTGCCTTCAACCATTTTGGAGTCGGAGTTGGTTTTCCAATTACCTTTACTTCCAAAACTGCTGTTTCTCCCGATTTCGTTTGTACGACTGTCGGCAGTTTTTTCACAATCTTTGGAGCAACCAATGTTTCTTCTTCAATCGAAACGGTCTGTGAGAAAAATTGAGAAAAAATTGATAATTTTTCATGCTTTTCTATATTTTGGGCTTTACAATGAAATTTTCTTTTTTTTCTTGCATAACGTAAATTATATCTCACCTTGTCTAAAAGATCGTCTTGTGATCCTAGTGTAATGCTGGTCATTTCTGAGTCCGGAACATATTCGTAAGCTAAATGAAAAAATAATAATGTAGAAAAAAAATTGTAACTCTTTCGGAATGAACATTTTACAATACAGCGGCTTAATCAATTGTTCCAGTATGATTTCCGTTTCGTAAAATGCTCTTCATTGCGAAAAAACTTTTTCAATCAACTCAGTACTGCTGTTAAAGAGGATTTCATAGGTGCTATTTGTGAACAAGGCATACGGATTTTAAAAATTGATTTTAGTATTTAGCATTTTTTTGCATGAACAAATCAATAGATCTATTGTCCGGAATTGTATCATAAATCGCTGTCCGTATGCGCTGTTTAAAAATGCCACCTGTGAATAGGAGCTGTGAAAATAGCACTACTATAGCTGTAGCCCAATCTATTCACTGATTATAACATTCATATATGGCTATGAGATCTTATGAGAAGGATTAAAGCGCAATGGAATGATTGGTTATATATGTTCATGTCATTTCTATTTTATTTATTTTTTCATTAAATACGATTCGATTCGATTAGTGTGAAAGGGGTATATATAACAGTGGATTCACTTCTACTTGTAAATTTTCAGAAAAAAAACAACTACAAAACTCCAATCTACCATAAAAAGTATTAAATGACCACAAAAAAAAAAGATTACGACGGTGAAAAGTCTACGACACTAGAAGAAATTCAAACTCAAAATGGTAATACCTTCAATGATAACATTAGTTTTAGTGATGGACTTTCCAAATTTATTGATTGCTTTACAACTGTAAATTCCAGCATCTTCAACGAACACTCCAGGCATATTCAGTTCACAAAAGCCATTACTATCCTGAACAATGGTGGTTCCTTTGTTTGGCGTTAACATGCGTTTATTGTGGAACCATGATATTTTTGGCGTTGGATTGCCGATAATTTGACAGGTTAGTTTCATAGCCTCACCATCCATCAAGTGTGCCGGTTGCAATTTTTGTATAAATCTTGGTGATAGATATTCTTTAATCTCTTCTAGTTGTTCTTCTGTTTTCACCAATTTGACTGTAGCACTTGATGTCACTGATCCCGCAACATTCTCGGCTCGACATGTGTAAATACCATCATTTTCCGATATAAATCGATCAATGTATAGAACCGATTTGTTATTTCGTGAATGAATGCATTTGGTGTCGGCGATTGGGGTTGAATTGAAAAACCATTGGAATGATGACTCCGGATATGATTCAACTGATGTTTCCAAAATCACGATTTCATCCATAAGCACCGTCTTTGGATTAAGCAATTGCGTGAAATATGGTGGTATCAGATCATCTGATGGAGCTGTATCAGTCACCATCACACTTCCAGACGCTCTTGCTTCACCAACTTCATTTACTGCAAGAATCTCATATTTTCCGGTACGTTTTCGATCTACATTACGAATTGTTAGTGTGCTTGTGTTATTAACATTTGTAATAGTAGTATTGTCATCAATCACAATTTCTTTGCCATTTTTCAGCCATTTGATTTCGGGCTCGGGTGTTCCAACATAAGATGAGCTGATTGTAAGTGTTGCAAGATTTCTGATCGTTTGCGGTTTAAGCGGCGTCAATCGTGGTGCTTTTAAAACATGCGGAACCATGGCTTCAGATTGTTCCACAATCTGCATAACTTCAGCTTTATTAATCGCTTTACCATACGCATTTTCAGCTTCTACTTTATATACAATCGGTTTATCTAATTCAATTGGAACATCAGACAATATTAAAGTAATATCTCCGTTATTTTCATCGTATCGAATTTGTACAGTTTCGTTTGGAATTATCTGTTGTTCGTCCCTTTTGCACACGATTGTCGGTTTTGGTGTGCCGTCAACTTGACATGTGATGATAATTTTGTGTTCTTCTTCCGAATAGGTTATTTCAATTGGTTTTGTAAATGTTGGTGCTATTCCAGACTCTTTTTCTATAATAATTATTTACATATTTTGATTTGAATTTTATTATTTGGATGAGGAAAAAATATATATGGCTGTACAGTGTACACAGTTCTTCAGTATTATCTACTGATAAGTCAGTCAATAAATGAAAATATTTCACACATACATATGATTTCTATTTACTAGGTGGAAAAATATACATATTCATATTCAATTGAAAGAAACTGAGACGATACAAATATTTATGTGAAACTCATATTCAAATTAGTAATTCATGGAAAAGCACATAAAATGGAACATTTAATGTATTTTGAGCGGAAATGAAAAGTGCCATTAAACCGAATATAATTGATCAACTTACCCAATGCAATGTTTGCACGTGAAATTGCAACGCCGGCTTCGTTCTTCACTTGACATGAATAGGTTCCGATCGTATCCGGTGTGACTTTGGCTATTTTCAATGTAACCACTTTTTCAACAACATTCATTTCATAGTTTTCTGTTGCATACACTTCTGCATCATTGAAGAACCATTTAACTTCAGGGAATGGTGTACCTTCAACCGTTGCTATCAAAAGTGTCGGTTCATTTGGTTTGCACAGTTCTGGTTTGAGTTTTCTCACAAATTTGGGTGCTTTTATTTGAGCCTTGCCACCGTGTACTTTTGGCAAAGTTGTTTCCTTTGGTTCTGTCGGTGCTTCGACAATAACCTCGTCCTTTTTGACTGGTTTGAGCTCTGGCTCTTCTTTTGTTTTTGCTTCTTCTAGTTTTTTTCGTGGAATTGGCTGAAGTTCTACTTTTTCAACCTCTTCAACTGGTTTCGGTATTTGTTTACCTTTTGGCCATTGTTTTGCCTCTTCAATGGGCTTTTTCTCTACTACTTTTTGCCGTGGCACTTGATCAACCACCTCTTTGTCTATCGGTTTGAGTTCATGTTGTTCTGGTTGTTTCTCTTCTGGTTTTTCGTGTTGAACTGGCTTCAATTCCACAGTCTCAGTTTCTTCGGTAGTTTTTGGCTTTCGTTTACCTTTTGGCCATTGTTTCTCATCTGGTTGCTTTTCAATGGATTTTTTCTTTTCTCCTCGTCGCCAGGGTGTGGCCTGTTCAATTTCTGGTTCTTGTGGCTAAAATTGATAGAAACAAGAACATAACATAAGTACATAGTAGAAATTAATACAAAATTAATTATTAATTATATATTACCTGTGGCTTTTCATCAATGACCTCTTCTATATACTCAGGCAACGGTTGAACTTCAGCTGGTTTTTGTACTTGAGATTTGATCGGCTTAAGTTGTACTTCGTCTTTTGCTGGTTTCAATTTTTCGATTTCTACCGATTCTCTTCGTGCCGTCTTTAAAGTGACCTGTTCTTCTGTCCATGGTTTGACTTCAGGTTTGGCCATACTGTCTTTGCGTTTTGGCGCGATTTCTTCAGTTTCCGTGGTTTTTGGCCGGGGCTTTAATTTTACTTGTTCTTCTGTCCATGGTTTCACTTTTTCCACCGGCGCTGGTATTGGTGTCGGTTGCTTAGGAGCACTATCTGTGCGCTCTTCAATAAGCTGTTCGGTTTCTTGTATTTTTGGTGCCTGTGGTTTTGGACCTCGTCGCCACATAACTGGTGTTTCATCCACTTCCTCTTGTGGTGCTGGTTGTGTTTGATCTAAATTCAATGCAGTTGTATCTTCAACATGGGCTTTGGTAACTTTCTTGCCACGATCCCAAGCTACCGGCGTTTCTTTTAATTCTTGTTGTGTAATTGTGTCTTGTTGATTTTGAATGGCTTTTGGTCCACGTTTCCACAATACTGGCTGTTCGTCTGGTTTTAATTGCGGTTGCATAATTTCTTCCCTCTCATCCAATTCCAATTGTGTTGTATCATCAACATGAGACACAGCACCTTTGCCGATTTTCTTTTGACGCATCCATGGCAATGATTTTTCGCGATGTTCTATTTGTTCATCTTCAATTTGGGAGATTTCCACGTGAGATTCGGAAAGTATACTTCCTTCGGATTTTGGACCACGTCTCCACCCCACGGGCATTTCATTTAGATCGGTATATTTTTGTGTAATTTGTTCTTTTTTCTTCAACGACAATACAGTTGAATCTTCAACGTAAGATAAATCACCTTGATCGCCTTTCTGTTGCTTCATGCCACGTTGCCACATATGCGGTGCTTCATTTTCCATTTGTTGAATATTTTTCATATTCAACTGTGTGTGTTCGGTTAGTTTCAAATGTGAAGTGTCTTCAGTATATGACAATGGTTGCATATATTGTTGCTGTTGTTGCTGTTGCATAAAATTCGGTTGAACACCAAATTTGTGCATTTGAATATCAGATTGCTGATCAACATGTAGAACGTTCGAGTCTTGTGTATGGATTCTTTGTTCGTTGGTAATGTTTTGATGTTCTTGCGCCATTTGTTGGCGCATCGATTTCAGATCAACTTCTTCTACTTTGAATTTATCGATAATCTTCTGAGCTCGTTCAATTGTTTTCAATTGTTTCATTTGAATTTCCCATGGGACACCTTGTGATTTATCACTTTGAATAAGTTCATCGAGCTGCTTCGATACCTCCAAAATAGTCATTTGATCTTCATGTGTAATGTCATGCGATCTCATGCCGGAATCGGCAAGCAAAGCTTGTTGCCATTCGGCTAATTGCGTTATTTGGCCGGATTTTATTGCATCTGCATCCCATTGCAAATGCTTCAAATCAACCTTCTCTAACTCTTCATGCGGAAATTCTAATTTTCGTTCAATTTGTGACTCTTTCAATTCAACTTTTTCCAATTTGGCACGTTCGATTACTTTTTGATGTAGTTCAGTTCGTTTCAATTTAATTACCTCTTCAATCCATGGACGAACTGGCACTCGGCCTCGATGCATTTGCATAAATGTCGGTTGTTTTGGCACAGAACGATCGCGATGTGATCGTAACCATGGCAATTTTTCAATATCTCGCACTGGTTGTAAGCTTCGACTTCGTATTTTTGCAGTTTTTGATCTCCGCCAGGGCAGCGATTCATCGCCTTTTGGCGCTTCGTAGAATTGAGCTTCTTGTTGAAGAGTAATATCGAATTGATCATATTGTGGATGTTGGACCCCATGCATGTATTGTTGTTGCTGTTGTGTTTGTTGATATTGCTGTTGTTGTTGTTGTTGTTGTTGTTGGTTAAGGGTCTGTTGCTGATACTGTTGAGCATAAATTCGGTTTTCATTTGGTCCACTTTGTTCTGGAGTTAATTCAGCTGTTTGAAATCGTCGAACGTGTTGTTTCGATTCTGAAAAAAGATTGATTTATACAATTTTCTTTTAATTTTTTTCTTCTTCTTCAGTAAATTGGCAATATATCAAAATATGATTTTGTCAGTTGACTTTGCGAATGGTAGCCAGACCATTTTATTGAGTAAATACAATAAATAAACCAATTGAGATTAAATTTTCTGGCTAATTAATACAAAATAGGTGAGCAATGCACTTGACTCATATTCTATATTTATAAAACTTTGGGCATGAGTAAGTTTTAAAATAATAAACAAAATACATAATGCACATCCATCGAATCGCCGATTCATTACATTTGCGTTGCTTGTTAGAAAGACTAAACCAACAAAATAACCGTCAAGATTCAACGTAAATGTAAAGGAAACCATACGAGATTAAAATCATCATTTGGCATGACATTGTTAAGGATCGAGAGAGCATCGTCACTAAAACGTATACGCTCATATGCGATGCTCAAAATCAAAATAACATGTTCGACTCAAATTATTAATAGATACACAGGGGAATAGAGATAGAAACAGTGATCGTATCAACAACAAGTGTATTCAAATGAATAGAAAACAAAATATATCGAATACACTGAATATTCGATCTGGAGTGTGTGTATTAGTAGCGAGAATACATTATGACGAGCTCGGATACGATATTTAAAATAGAACAACATTGAAACGAACAGTCGTGCCATATTTTCATCAATTGAAGATTTTGGCGAACACGATTTAGTCTTCTGTGGTCCTCTGGTGTTAACGGTTACCGGGAAAAATCAAAAGTCATTCACAGCATAAAATCAATTTCAGATCAAATAATAATAAATGAATAAACAAAAGAGTGTGGAATTGTTTTTTTTTTTTTTTGTTTTGGACATCGATTTACTTTTGTCGCACCAAAACACAAAAGTGATCTGAGTAAATAGTTTTGGAATTGAGTTAGATATGAAAAGAAACAAAAAATAAATACATTAAGTGATTTCAATTGGATATTCTTTTGATTGATGCTATTTTTTTTATTAAAAAATAAAACACATTTAATTATTCTAATTTCGTTAAAATTACATAAGAACAAAAAAAAAATCAAAATACATTAATAATTGCCTAATAAATATTTAGTGGTTGTTTCAATTTTTTTAAATTATTATTTGTTGAACTTTTCAGTTTTTAACACAAATGACAAACAAAAACAATTTCCATCGAAATTCGAAATGGATGCATGTTGGTTTTAATGAAAGCACATTATTTAAAACAAAAAAACTGAATAAATTATTTCAAATGCGAACAAAAATGATGAACGATCTAAAAAAGGGGTTAAACAAAGCATCAAGCTCGCAAATTTTGTATGGCTCATAAAAAAATTAGTAATTATAATGTGGCAATAAAATCAACATGCAACCATCATACAATAATAATAAAAATAAAATAAATGAACCTACACAAACTGATTTCAATTTTTATCGTAAATTACTATACATTCGAATGGTTGTGAGAGTGCAATGAATTTTTTTTGTTTTACACGAGTAACTGATTGCCGAATCTTGAGTGCCAATTTCAAAAAAAAAAAAAAAAAAATTAGCAATGAATGTGTTCAATGGTATTCAAGTGTTTTTCCCCCTCATTTTCCTTTCTCTTTTTCGACAAAATGTAATGTCAAACAATTTTGACTACAATAAATTTTGCTGACTTAAATTATAATCAAAAATCGTTTCATTTTCATTTGTCAATTTATATGTATAGATTGATGATCGAATTTTATCAAAAACAAAATACTATGACTAAGCGTTTTTATAGCATCTTTTCGCCTAGTTAGTCGCCCATTTATAATTCCGAAAATAAAAAGAAAATGGTACGTTTCACCTCTGTTTTGTTTTCTATTTCTATTTTTTGACTCAGCAACATAAACATAAAGGTAAGTGATAGAAGTTTCCAAATTTAGACACAGGCCACAAGGTAACGTACAAAACAAATGCAAACGATCGAAGGAGAAAAACCTCAACTGTTTTGGAGCAGTTAAATAAATTAGTAGTCAGTAAACGTACGCACGTATCACACCGTGCGTCACCTTACAATCATTTTCGGTGTGGCTCCGTGTTATTAGTTTGCTTTTCTTTTTAAAAATAGATGAGAAAAGAACAGCCTTCGGTTTGTTTGTTTTTCTTCCAACGTTTCTCTTCTGCTTTTTGTGACACACCGAATATAAATGTTACTCATTCAACGAACGCCAATGTTGGATAGGTGTTTTTGGATGTCATGACTTTATAAAATGGATGAAAAATGCCAGAAAATAAACGAAGTTTTTCGGTTGAAAATGATTATTCGAATAAATTGACGGTGGCTTGAGAGCGCATGTCAATGAAAAATATCGCTCACTGGTGCTGTATGTGATGTATATATTTCAGTTATTTTGTTTTTTTTTTTTGTTGATTTTCATACTTTACTTCATCAGCTATTCCTAGAAAAATGGCGGACAACGGATCGAAACCGCTTGCAATTGAAATTTCGATTTTATTTGGGTGTGTGTCTGTGTTTTTTTTTTGTCCACGAAAGCCATTTCAATTTTTTTCGCACGCCATTTCACAATTCACAAATATTAAAATACAGAAAATAATAATACGTTTGGCATTTTTCTTCTCGGGAGTTGTAAATTAAATGATTAAATCTGTTCATGGCGTATATTGGCGAAAAATACGCGGCAAGGTGACACCAAATAATAGCTATATAAAATTCCTTATCTGAATCTATAAAGATAGAGCATATCCTTAACCATCTTATTAAGTGTAACATACCGAATCATTGAAAATTGAGTACAAACGACACGCGATTGCAATGAGTCTTCAAGAAATGTGCAATATCCTATGCGTTCTTAACCACTAAAAATGACATTAGATATATTCAAATGTAAAGTTCTGCTCAGTTTGCTTTCTATTTTCAACACTTTATTGGCACTCATTATAACATTTGTTTTTAGTTTGTGTTTTCTTCTTCTTTAAATTATGCAAACAAAAGTATTTTTAATAAAAACTATTAAATGATATTTTAAGACATCAAACTTTGAAAATGTTTTATTCGATGAATTTTCGATTTGCTTGAATGCGGAAACCTCATTGAATAAAACACATTTATGAACACACTCAATCAAAACAAAATAATTTTTTTTTCATTTTTTTCTATTTTTTTCTGTCAATCCCTTCACTTATACTAATTCATAAGTGAATGCAATCAGTTATCGCTTTATGAAATTTGCATCTCGGTTTGGGGCACATTTAATTTGTATACATTTTTTATGTGCTTCACATGTTCAACCAATTAATTACCAAATAATTTTTTTTAGAAGTATCTAACTTTGTTGATCTCTTCATATACTGGTCGAATTTATAAATGAAATCAACAAAAATTACGCACCAAAGATACTTGCAAAATATTATAATATGAACAATTTTTTTTGGTTGAAATGCTGTGCCCTCATATCCGAAGAGTCTTTTTATGGATGTATACACACTAATGTTTGTATTTTACGAGATAACTTTTTGCTTTACTAGTTTTTTTTTTTTAATTTTGTTTCGGCGAAAATGTATGCACCGAGTAGTTTCTTTTCTCTCTTGAACTTTTAGTATTTTTGTTTCTTTTGTCTTTCAAATTTTCAAAGCTAAAAATAATGTATCGCGAAAATTACAAATCAAACAAATAACACAAAACAGAAACGGTTCAGACAACAGATCTTATTTAGTTCTTACTTTTAACGACAAGTTTAGCCGACGTTTTGACCTGGCCTGCAGAACTGGTGACGCGGCAAGTGAAAAGACCAGAGTCTTCTTCATATGTGGTGGCAATCAATAATACGGCATTGTTTCCATCAAAAATCATCTGAAATATTTATATAAATGGAAAAGAAAAAAAAATCGTTCAATATTTGTAAAATGATTAAAATTACATCATTTTGCAAAATTTTAGAGTAAACATAATAGTGAAAGCGTTGAATTTCAAACGTGAATTAGAAATGAGAAACTCACCTGGAAGTCTGGTGATTCAGGAATCAAAGCACCTTCACGGAACCATTGAACCTACGAAAAAAAGTATAAATTGATTGTAAAATATGTTGGCCCTGAAAACACCCCTTTCAAGCTTTGAAACTTACATTGGTTGGCTTTGTTTTTCCAGAAATTGTTGTTTTGAATTGAGCTGGACTTCCTTCCTGTACAACAACATCTTTCATTGGAGACAATGTTGGTAGAGCTTCTTGCTGTTCGGGTGCTCGTACACGCAAGTTGGCGCTTGTTGTAATTTTACCAAGCGAATTGGCCAATTCACACTTGTAAACGCCTTCGTCCTCGGGGAAAGCTTCGGTAATTCGCAAACTATAATATTCACCGTCGCGTGACATTTGGAAGAATTTCGATGGTTTAATAATATTTGGTCCCTTGAACCATTGAGCTGTTGGATTTGGTTTGCCAATAACTCGGCATTTGAATGCAACACTTGAACCTTCATTAATTGTCTGATCTTTTAGTGGTTCAATGAGTGTTGGTGTTTTTTCGGTGCCCGGAACAGATTGTTGTGGTTGTTTTGGCGCTGATTTAGATGATAAAATTGTACATTCAGCTTCACATCGAGCCTCTCCCGAATTATTTACGGCAACACATTCATAAGCGCCAGCATCTTCTTGGAACGCTTCGATGATTAATAGTGTGTATGTGTTGTCCTCTTCAACGATCTTATACTTGATATTCGGCACGATTTTCTGTCCATTTTTCAACCAGTATACGTCCAATGGTTTTGTGCCATTAATTTTAGCGTCGAAACGTGCCAATTGACCTTCATTAACTGCGGTATCTTGAACAGTAGTCAAAAAGCTTGGTGGTATAGCCGCTCCTTTGCCGGAACGTTTTCTTTCTTCAACCACCAAATTGGCACTACACTTAGCTGTGCCTCCACGATTTTCAGCAATTACTGAAAACATTGCTGAATCTTCAAGGAACACTTGACGAATCATCAAAATTGATTTCGTTCCAAATGTATGAATTTGGAACACTGGCGAATTTTGGATTGGGAAATTTTCACGATACCATTGCACTTTTGGAATCGGATCACCATCGTATTCGACTTCAAAACGAGCTTGTTCGTTTTCAAATGCACGGCATGGTTGAATCTTCTTTGTGAAAACAGGTGGATTGGATGGTTTCACTTGTCCTTCTACCATACGCTCTTGAGCTGAACCTTTGTGTTCAACCTCTGTTGTTTCTGTTGCAGTTATCTTACGTGTTATTTCAACGTCACCAACCGTTTCTTTTTGCGTTTGCTTTTGACGATTAATGTGCACTTCACGGCCATGCACTGAAGATTCTTGTGGTTGCACAGATTGTTGCTGGTTTACTTTACGAACCGTTGTTGTGCTTGTGTCAACGACATCTTCGGTTTTCTCCCTGTTCGAAATGTGTGAAGTATTTCATAATTTAACAAAAACAAAACTCCAGGAACATGGATAAAAATAATATTTGGATTAAAAAAATGATGTCACACTTACAATTGTTCTTGGTATTTTTGTGCCATTCCCTTTGCCATTGATTTGTTAACAACTTTATCGCCGGGAATTGCAAACTGATGACTTTCTTCGCGAAGTTTTGTCTCGCGAAGCAATTGATCTGTTTCAAGTTCTTGCAGTTTGTTATAGTAGTTTTCCGTTTTCTTTTGTTGTACGGTCTTCGTCCATTCAGGAATTTCTTTGACATCTTGTTTGCTCTTTGCAAAATGGTCACCAACCTTAACACTGCCCTGTTCTGCCAAGTATTGTCTACGATCTTCGAATGTTTTTTCAAGTTCGGTTTCTTTTCGATCTTTTTGGTATGGAACCAATTCTGAATCGTACCATGCTGATAACATAGAATGCAATTATATGAGAAAAATGTTGAAATGTTTTTCAAAAAGTTTTGAAACGAAATAACATCCAGTGCATGTAAATAATAAATAATAAATATAAGGTAAATCATTAAAAAATATAAAACCAAAAAAGTGAGAAGCCCAATAATTAACCAGCCTTGCTATCAAAAGGTATAAAAAATTATATGGTTATAAATTATCTAAAACTATATTTTTTTTATTTACATTATGTACAAATCTTTAATTTTACCTCCATTGTGCGCTTAATTCACAAAATGACCCATGCCAATTTACAGCAGCCGCTAGCATGATGCGAAGTAAAGCAAATTGGGAAGATAAAGTAGCGGAAGGATTGTGTCGAAGGTATTGTGCATTGGATTTTGTGAAGTGTACTTATGTGTGGTAGTTTTTTGGTAATAAATTAATTGCAATTGATATGTTATTTCAGTCTTTTTTCCTATGAGTTTTGTGTAAGAAAGCGATATAGTGTTACATGGAAAGTGCTGACTTTGCAAAATCCAGAAAATGCTTATTGTTATGCTTATTGTTTTATTGTGTATATATTTATATTTTATTTAGTGATGATGCTATTGTTTACGCAATTTCATTAAATTATATCATTTTCAAAAATTATCGGACCATAACCCGTTTTACATAATTACTGAACCAGTACTTACGTCTTGGTGAATTTTTAAGGACACCACGATAGTCATCAGTTCGTGGAACGATTTTAAGGTCCACCGTTTCTATAGCTTCACCAACTGAACTTCTGGCGATAACCTCAACTTTACCAGTATCGTATTGTCTGGTTTTTGGTATATCCAAATGGTACATTCCGTCGTATGTTAGTTTGAAACGAGAACCCTAAAAAATACGCAACATAAACAACATTCCTTCAGAAATAGAACAGAAAAATTGTTTGTCTTAGTTACTCACATTGACAACGGTATGACCATTGATGAGCCACATAACACGTGGACGTGGATGACCTGTGACGCGCACACAAAATCGAGCCCATTCACCTTCTTCAACTTGAACTGACTCTGGTTTGCTGACGAAAATTGGTGCTGTTCTTGGTTTAGCATCTTCATCCGGTTCTTCGGGTACACTGCATGAAAAAGAAAAAGTCGATAATATAAAAAAATATTGTCAAGAAGATAATATTTTTCAATACTTACACTTGCCAAGATGCTTCCATTTCACGAATCTTATCAATACTCTTCATGTGTTTGGGCAACTGTGAATCATAAATAATGCCAGGTTTGCCTGATGTTTTGATGATTGCTCTAGTTTCATCCTGTCCATACAAATTCGTTGCCTAAGAACGAGACTTTGTTTAGATTTTTCAATATTCAAAAAATGAATAAATTTCTTTTGTTTTTGCTTTTGTTTTTGTGACGACTATTTGTGAGATACGACGCGCGAAAAATGTGAAAAGCAAAAACAAAAGAAATGCAAAAACAAACGAAAAACAAACCTTGCACACATATTCACCACTATCTTCTGGATAGACCCATCCGAAGTTCATTGCCACATAACCAAAATCATAAATTGGTTCAAAGCGATTTTCTGTAAGACGAAAGCAAAAAAATATGGCATTGATTTAATTGAAAAGAACTTTTAAATTGCATAGTACTTACTGTGATGAAGTGGTTTTCCATTGAAGAACCATTCAACTTTCATGTTTGGATCGCCGACTGGTGCAAGTTGACATTCGAATTTGGTTGATTGCATTTCAACTAGAGTTGTTTGATCTTTAATTTGGGTAACAAAACGTGGTGGTTGTTTTTTGTCTGCATCATACATATCATCTTCGGTGAGGAAAATTTCTGATGTGTATTTTTTGATGGCAGCTTCCATTTGCATCAATGTTTCGGATGTTTTCATTCCTTTTGGAACTTGATTTTGCAATATGATCGATGGCAATTCTAGAAGCGAAAATAAAATTGCACAATTATTAAAGAAAATTCTCTGCATGTTATTTTATCAATGAACTAAGAATGGTTATAACAAAATGTCAACGTACGTTTACATGAAATAGTTGCTTTGGTGAAATCTTCTCCAAAATCATTAACGGCTCTGCATACATATTCACCGCTATCTTCAGCATACACATACAAAATATCCAATGAAACATAACCAAGATCGTATAAGTTTCTAAAGCGATGACCTGATGGTAGCAATTTGCCATTACGGTACCATTCGATGCGAAGATTTGGATCGCTTTTCGGTTCAACACGACATTCAAATCGAATGGATTCTGATTCTTCTACCGTCCATGATTTGATTTGCGTTAAGAATTTTGGTGGTCCGGCTGGGGCTGGTTCAGGAGCTGGTTCTGTAACTGGGCCACGTTCCAAATCTTTCAAATGTTCGACAGTCATGCCGTGTGGCAATTGTGAATCGGAAACGATGCCCTGTTTACCAATACAAGTGACTTTGGCTTTGGTGACTGCCTGTCCCCATTTATTTACGGCACGGCATGCATATTCACCAGAATCACGCAAGTAAATGTAGTCAATATCGAGTGCAATAAATCCAAAATCGTTTAATTGATGCACTCTTGATCCGGTGGCCATTGGACGACCATTGTGGAACCAATCAATTCGCATTGTTGGATCACCGACCGGCTCAACTCGACAGTCGAAATGAATTGGTCCACCTTCGGGCACATCTAAATTATCAGCGATATCAACAGTAAATTTAGGTGGATGCGCTTCTTCTTCGTCAACGAAGATTTCTTCGCGCTTATGGAGATTTTCCTCAAGTTTTTGCAAACTTTCCGTTCCAGTTCTGAAGTTGGATGGAAGTTGGGGTTCCATAATGATACCCTGACGACCTTTCACATGTAATTTACATGAAACAGTTGCTTCGCCGTGTTTGTTGAAAGCCTATGGTTATATTCAATTTAAAATGGTTATTCCTTTTTTTT